GCACACACCTCACCTTGTACCCACATCAGTGCTTTACTCCATGAACTTAGGCCATCAGGTTGAAGATTTTTAAGAAACAGAACCATTCGATCCGTGTTGTGTGTAAATGCTCAGGTACTAAGGATGGAGATAAGATAAATCAGGTGTGTTTGCCTGAAACAAAACTCCACATGAATCTGTTGTGAAAATGGTGTGATGTGTACGAAGGGAAGTTATTCTGAGTACCTTCTTGCTTGTTTGTACTGATAGTAACTATGGAAACGAGGACACAGTGGGGTGGGGGATGCTATTCCTCTTTCCACTCAACTCTTCAGCCACTTAAGAATCTTGAATGTCATCACCTCTCCCGGGTCAGATATTGTGAGAAGCTCTGAACACTTACTACCTGGTGCCGTTCCCCTTGTTGCTAAAGTGGACCTTTCCATGCAGCTGAGGCGACAAGGGGGGCAGGTGTGGACGTGTTCCCTGTGCCACTCCCCTTCCTCAGTCCTGCTTCCCTGCTAGTCAGCTCTGCACGGGCCCCTCGCCAGAGCCTTCCTGGAATACACCTGACGTCTGGACACTTCCTGGTTCGTCCTGGTCCCCGAGAAGCCGTGGCACCCAAGTCTCTCCTCATCTAGCCATTACCTCTTGATCTGAACGTGGCCAGACCCACTCTCAGTGTCTTCACTTTGAAGTGGTGATGCTGACCTACAAGGGCCTCAAATGCACAGAGCTCACACACCAGCCCCCTCCCCACACACCTGCCCCCCCTCTTTACACACCTGCCCCCTCCTCACATACCTGCCCTCTCCTCACACACCTGCCCCTCCCCACACACCTGCCCATCCCCACACACTTGACCCTCCCACATACCTGCCCCCTCCCCACACACCTGCCCCTCCTCACACATCTGCCCCCTTCCCACATACCTGCCCCCTCCTCACAGCCCAGGGATGGTCTTCTGAGAAAACTGCCATCAATTAGGAAAGAGCTTTGGACGCTCTCATGGCAACTGTGGCTTCGTCAGGAAGACAAAACGAAATGTAATTGGAAGCCCTTCTCTTGCCTCTGAAATCGGCCCCCATCCTCTCATTGGCCGGCCCTTGTCTGCACCAAAAATGATAGAGCAGAGCAGTGTGGGAAATGCAGAATTCTGCTTTATAACCTCTCCAAGTACAATCCGAGAGGGCAGGAGTATGCTCTGTTTTTCGTCAGAAATACATACTGAAATCAAGTCCCTTGGGTCAAGGACTTGGTCACGGGCTTGGTCACGGCTTGGTCAAGGACTTGGTCATGGATTTGGTCATGGACTTGGTCATTGGCTTGGACATGAACTTGGTCATGATTTGGTCGTTGACTTGGACACAGACTTGGTCATGATTTGGTCGTTGACTTGGACACAGTAGTAGTGAGTTGTTACAGAAGCTGAGTGTGTGAGTCTAGCAGAGACTTGGAGTAGAATTCTAGCTCGGACATCTCTGAGCGTGGCCACTCATGCCCCCGCTTTGAGCCTCAGTTTCCACACCAACAGGGACATCCAGGCCACCCCACAGGCCATCTTGAGGACCACATTCCACATGAATGTGAAACACTTCCCACCGATCGGGTACGAAGCACCTGTAAGCTGATGCGATAGAAGGAAAATTGTATGGGACCATGTCAGTTACATTAGGGATTGGGTGCTAATTACAGTTTACGCTGTTCTAGTTTTTGAAAAATGGTGACCCTATTTTTATGTAGCCTCTGAGTTAGCACATTACCTCATTTTCCAATCTCTGGGAACTTGAGGTCACAGTTAAACTCCCAGCAAACACTTGTGGGGCCACGTCTGCTTGTCATAGAGTTTCCTCGATCTTGTAAGAGAGGTTGTGTTAACAACTACTCACACCATACCTGAATGTTTATGCTGTCATTTAGACTCTGTTTCTACAGTCTCAAATGCTTCCTATATTTGCACTGGAGAGCCTCTCACACTTTGTAATTTGGGGATCTTGTGTGAGTCTGATGTCCAGTTCGCTCTTGGTTACGGGTCTGTGTAGAGCCGGCCTTCAGCTCTGGACAGTAAGGAATGAAGGCCCGTCAGCCGGTCCCCTTGGGTCAAGGACTTGGTCACGGGCTTGGTCACGGCTTGGTCAAGGACTTGGTCATGGATTTGGTCATGGACTTGGTCATTGGCTTGGACATGAACTTGGTCATGATTTGGTCGTTGACTTGGACACAGACTTGGTCATGATTTGGTCGTTGACTTGGACACAGTAGTAGTGAGTTGTTACAGAAGCTGAGTGTGTGAGTCTAGCAGAGACTTGGAGTAGAATTCTAGCTCGGACATCTCTGAGCGTGGCCACTCATGCCCCCGCTTTGAGCCTCAGTTTCCACACCAACAGGGACATCCAGGCCACCCCACAGGCCATCTTGAGGACCACATTCCACATGAATGTGAAACACTTCCCGCCGATCGGGTACGAAGCACCTGTAAGCTGATGCGATAGAAGGAAAATTGTATGGGACCATGTCAGTTACATTAGGGATTGGGTGCTAATTACAGTTTACGCTGTTCTAGTTTTTGAAAAATGGTGACCCTATTTTTATGTAGCCTCTGAGTTAGCACATTACCTCATTTTCCAATCTCTGGGAACTTGAGGTCACAGTTAAACTCCCAGCAAACACTTGTGGGGCCACGTCTGCTTGTCATAGAGTTTCCTCGATCTTGTAAGAGAGGTTGTGTTAACAACTACACCATATCTGAGTGTTTATGCTGTCATTTAGACTCTGTTTCTACAGTCTCAAATGCTTCCTATATTTCACTGGAGAGCCTCTCACACTTTGTAATTTGGGGATCTTGTGTGAGTCTGATGTCCAGTTCGCTCTTGGTTACGGGTCTGTGTAGAGCCGGCCTTCAGCTCTGGACAGTAAGGAATGAAGGCCCGTCAGCCGGTCCCAGGGGAGGTACTTTTCACTGTGGGTTATCGTTTAGGTGGGAAAAGCATGAGCTCCTAATTACCTGGGTGATTGATACCCGGCTCGCTTGGGGGGTCAGAGGGAGAAGGCAGCCCTGTGAGCCGAATAACTCTGAGCCCGAAATCAATATGAACAATAAAGTCCCTTGGCTGCCCTGCCTCCTCCTCGCCCGGCCGAGTGCTTCCCGCCATCCGGGCTGCTTGGTATTTCAATTCTCTCCCTGATGTTGCTTCTCATCCCTTTGTGTCTGGGACGTCACCTGCTCACTGAGTGTCCCCGGCCCCAGATGTGGTCTCAGTCCCTCCAGGGACAGAGAGGAGGGCCACGGCGGCGAGGGGAGGCGGTCGGGGCCACGGCGGCG